CATCCATGAAAATGAGATTCGTCGGCCATGCTACATAAGCTCCTATCGCGTCTCCCACCACTGTTGCGTTTGATACATCGTCTGGCATAGGCAACAACGTCCCCCCTCTAATGCAATATCAACAGATACTTTCAAAAATCCATCAGGGAGGGGTTTATGGTGAAGTAAGTCTCCCAGGGTGTTATGCACCTTTCCCTTGCCAACCATGCGATAAGTCGGCGACGATAAATATAGTGGACAAGGTGAAATGCCCTAAACAAATAATGATCAGTTAATGTGTCAATTAAGAAAAATGTGCTAAATTAATTTCAATGTAATATATACAATTACCTCTGGAAGCTTCTGCGAACAACCGATACTATCTTTGTCACTAGTAGCTTTACCGGCCTCTGAAGCGCGCCTTTCGGACATGTATCTCTCCTTATCCTTCTGTAATTCACGAATTTGAGCTTTCATTTCCTCCAAAGTAGCCATCACTTCTTTATTGGTTGGATTTTTTTTCCTTGGCTGCTTATACAGTTTGGATGGAGTGACACCAAATCCCTTGCCCCTCACACGCCCAGAGTACTCAGGAATATTCAACACCCGACTCAATAAACTCCTGCAATCATCGTCTTCAGCAAGAGTTATAGTCTGGGATAGGGACTCCTGAAATATAGATAAAAGCATATTTAAATATTTTATACACTTTGTTCAAACACTTTGTTCAAAAACTAATGTTGTACTTACACATTGTTCAAACACTTGTTGAACTTCTTCTTGGACGGCTCCATCTCTTCCCACCCGGGCAGCCTTCCATACGACATGGTCCGGAAGAGATGTCGCATCACTTTTCTCCTCTTCCAACTACGCATTAAGACGAAAAATAAAGCATTATATCCTATTATGTATACTTACTATTTTTTGTAAATAGATCATATTAAAGCATATATATGCACTTACTAATTTTTGTTCTAAGCGTGCATATCCCAAATGCCCCTTTCTATATGGATACGCAGGGTTTGATGCCCGTTCCCGATTTACGCCACTCTTAACCTGAAAAAACAAGTTTAAGTCATATCAGTTTGTTTGTGGAATAGGTATATATACCATACATTGTTCGTGATAAGTTGTACTTACTTCAAATTCTTTAGTTCTTCGCTTCGCAACAAATGTCTCCCATTCTGCATCCGAAATCAAATCAGCGTACTTCGCTGGACGCTCCGACTCTACAAAGTTGCCATCAGAATCTTTAAGATATTTGTTGGTTAAAAACGCTCTAAATCCCCTCAAGCGTTTTCCGGCCAACTGAATACAATATTTTCTCCTAGAATCCTCAATATTAAAAGATCTCTGCAAACAAATACACATACATATAACATGTTAGTATAATTAATTTAAAGATGTAACTGTCAACATAATTAAAAATGATCAAATCTCATACTTGAATCTCGGTCCAAATTTTATCCTTAGCCGCTTCTAATGCAGGAAGTCTCCAGTTATCGCAAGTAATCGGAACTTGCGAACGTACAACTGCTCCAATATAACTTGTCAGCAGCGCACCATTAGGCTCAACCAACTGATCTCTTTCATTCCAATGGACATCATACTTTACACCTCTATCTCTCGCACGGATGATACTTTTCATTATCGTTATGCCTCTTTTAATTTCGCCTTCAACGTCTTTGGGTGTTTCTTTTCCATCATGTGATGTTTCCTCGTTGCTGGCCATAATATACCTGTAATTCAGAATAACAACAACAACAACAAATATCAACAACAATAACAACAAATGTCATATTAAACAACAACAACAAACCATCTATATCAAATATAAACTATAACACAATATCATATATATCATATATATCATATATCATATTAACTATATCAAATATAAACTATAACAAACCATCTATAAACCATCTATATCAAATATAAACCATCTATATCAAATATAAACTATAACACAAACCATCTATATCAAATATAAACTATATCAAATACAAACCATCTATATAAACTATAACAAATATAAACCATCTATATCAAATATAAACTATAACACAAACCATCTATATAACACAATATAAACCATCTATATCAAATATAAACTATATCAAATACAAACCATCTATATAAACTATAACAAATATAAACCATCTATATCAAATATAAATTATAACACAAACCATCTATATAACACAAATATAAACCATTTATATCAACTATAACAAATACAAACCATCTATATAACACAATATAAACCATCTATATCAAATATAAACTATAACACAAACCATCTATATCAAATATAAACTATATCAAATACAAACCATCTATATAAACTATTTTACATCAACAACAACAACAATATTATATATATCTCATATATCATATTAACACAACAACAAATAACACAACAACAACAAAAACCATCATTGAAAAGATAAAAACCATCTATATCATCAGAACAACAATGGTGAAAAGATAAAAAAAAAACAAGAAAAGCAGAGTAAAGCTTCACGTACCGTAACAATGGTGGACCGGCAATACAGACGAATGGATGAACTCAAAAACGGACGGTGAACGGTCGGTGATGGTCGGAAGGATGATCGGACGGAAGAAGTTGATGGTCGGACGATGAACAGTGGTTCGTTCGTTCGTTTTCGTTCGCCAGAGAAAGAAGAAATGTGTTGCGTGACTGTTCTGATTCTATTAAAATTCTGGAGGGTATTTTAAAATTATAATATGAAAACCTATAGCAGCGCTTTTAAAGGCCTTTAGCAGCGCTTTTAAAAGCGCTTTCATAGGGTGCCTTATCAATTCCATATAGCAGCGCTTTCTTGTAAAAACGCTTTCTAAGGGTCCCCCTTTAGCAGCGCTTTTGAAAAGCGCTTTCGTAGGCCCCCCCTTTAGCAGCGCTTTTTAAAAGCGCTTTCTTAGGCCCACCATTTAGCAGCGCTTTTTTAAAAGCGCTGTCTTTGGTAGGCGCTTTTTTTCTTTTTTTTTTTTACTGGCCCTTTAGCAGCGCTTTTGTATAAAGCGCTGTCTTTCTATGCGCTGCTAAAAGTGATTTCTGGCGTAGTGAGCCCCTAGCGCAGGACCAACGGTTACCTAGTACTGGGCTGGGCTACCAGGCCCAATGTTAGTAACTGTTAGGGCTGACGTGGCATCGTCAAGACCAGCACGTGGTCTTCGCCCTAGTGTAACTGCTCCGCACTATTCGGGAGGAGGAAAACCGAATCTCCAGTAGATGGGTAATTACCTTATGATGTGTCCCTGCGTGATGGACACGTGGAGAACGTGGGGGAAGCCTTGAGGAGTCCCCCGGGCAGGCATGGTCATTTGGTCGGATGCGGTGGTCTTGCTCGACGATGGGACGAAAGAGGCTGGTCCGTCGGGCACGAGGGTCCTGCACGACAGTAGGTTGGTCTGTGCCCGACGGGGAGATGGTTGTGCCCGACAGATCCCATGCTCGTCTGCGTGGCTCAAATGGGGTCCAGCTCCAATGGGCCTTGGGCCTGCTAGGCCATGGGCTAAGCGTCGGCCGAGTCCAGAACAGTAACCATGGCCAAAAACTCAACCCCAGATGTTCACATAGCATCAAAACACCCACATAAACATGTTATAACATTATTAAGCATGCAATTCATCAATTACAACATGAAAACAACATTTAATTCAACTTTAACACAAAACATAACCCACCAATATTCTCATATTGATTTGTCTCTTCTAATTGATCTCTCTCCACAATTCACCAATTACTCTATTGGTCTTGACTGATAACATTTAGAGCATTTGGGAGGTCCAATTCTATTAATTGATAAAAGATATAGTACATAGAAACTCAGTTGATCTCAATTGACACTCAATTGAGCATTTAAGAGAATATGAGATATTATAGATGTAGTCGTTTAAATATTTATGTATTAATCTTGATAATGATATTTTATGTATCAATCTTAATGCTTACTTAAAGAAGCTACTTAGATCATGTGTTTCATGGTTTTGAATCAATAATAAGAAATAATTTTTATCTGCTAGATGTTAAACTTTGGACATAAATTTACATTTAGCATTCACAAATACTATAAATCTTAATTCTATCATATTGGTTAGAAAGTTTTGAGATCTTTCATTATTTTGACTTTACGTTGTTGATTTATACATAAACAACAAACACAACACAATAAGTGGTAATATTAATGGTTTATTAGAATTGCATGTTACTATTCAAGATATTAAATGAGGATAGGGCGATAAAATCTAATCCCAACAAACTTTCTCATATGTTAAAATACCAATTCCATTTATTAGTATTTTATTATTAAGTTTTACAACAAAGTTATACAACCTTTTTTTAAAATCATAAAAATTGTTGAACGCCTTTTAAATCGCGTCAATCCCTAGACGATAATCTTAAATACTTATTTATTGCTACGATAACAATATCTCAAGTCATAAAGGAAAAAAAATAGATGTTAATACATTCCTTAAAATATCTAATACATGCTTCTTTTCAATGACCAATTTTGAGTTTGAAAAGGGTAAGTTGTAAGAGATTCATATGCTCCAAACAAAGCTCCTTGGGATAGTTAATTGTGGATCATAATAAGTATTATAATATATGCTCTTAGAAAATTAAATTATATCAATTATGGTGCATCATAAACACTATAAGATTATAAATATGTATAGATCAAGCTTGAACAAATACATTGTGTTATACTCGGTTACTCAAAATTTAATACATATTAAACATTGCCATTTAACATATAAAAACTCTTTTACCATGGTTCTAGAAAATAAAATGTATAGTATCTTTAATAAAGAAGTGTCTTTTTTCTTGGTAAATATTACACTTAACTTTTACAACTTACCCTTTAAATAGGGGATTTTGGTATCAATTCAACAATACCATATAGGCACATGAATTTTACCTTATTCTTAACACAATATTGCAAAGAGAGCCTTAAAGATAAATATTACATCTATAGTATTTCATATTAATATGTTTAAGATAGAAGAGGGGAGGCTTCTGAAACCAAATGAGCCGCCATAATTTTGTTAAAGGCACCTGTGGGATGGAAACTATCCCAAAACACATATTGAGATGCATCAACACATGTTCCAATGGAATTTTGATTGCAAAGTACTGAAACCTCTATCACGCCTATCCCACAACAACCCTTCCTTGCTTCAATAAATCCTATAAAAGTGTGCAACACAAAGTAAACGGTTAATCATGGTGATAGATAAATCATAATGAAGAGATTGCTTAATTACATTTTCTTGTGTTTAAATATTGAAACCCTAATTTTGCTTATAATAGTTAGAATTTGTACCGTATTTAGAGGGATTATTGGCTATATCATAGAAAAGTTGATAAGTCTCAAGAACCTTCAAATTGACACCGGGAAGCATTTTTTGCAAGTTCTGAGATGTTGAGTTGAGCTTCTTATTAAAGTAAACAGCAACATCGTTTAATTTTTCCACACATTTGTTGCTATGAAACCCAAATACAGTGATGGCCGCAGGCAAACAACCTATTGGAACTAACGTTGGCACACCAATTTTTCTTGCTCCCAATGCATATAAATTCTGTCAAGTTAATATATCAATATGGAGATAATAGGTGGTTGGATCAAATGTTACAATTAAATGTGTTCAAAAAACATACCTGAATCAAATCAGAGTAGTGTTGTATCATAATGTCTGAATATTGATAAGGTGTATACACGTTGTAATTCCATGGATATATGTAATAATTTAATAAAAAATCACAACTCCCTGAACCAATAAAATATACACCATCAGATATAATGGATAGTGCATCTGATTTTCCTGCTATTTTCATCAATTCCTTTTGATAATCCTTGTAGTATTCTAGTTGTTGATTCATTGTAATTGTATTCTACATCCAAAAAAACAAATACATTAGAACTTATTTAAAAACATTATAAGAAAGTTAATAAGTAGCGTCGGTCAAGAGCGGACGCTAACCAACCAAAAGCATATTCTTTAGGCTATTTAGCGTTAGAGATGTTAAAGCAAAGTTAAAATACAAATAAATGTAGTTACATATAATTTTGCTGTAGAATCAAGAAATCCAGAACCAGATGAAGCAAAGCTAGCACCGTGCAAGAGGTTATCTCCTTTGGTATTTAAGTTGGCGTAAGGAGGTTGCGGAGAGGTAAATCCAAAAGATTCAGCTCTAAAGGTTAAATGAGTTTTAGAAATATTATTCAAATACACACAAAAGTGAGTTTTAAATGAGTATATATAAATAGGAAATAAAATTAATAAAACTAATGGTGAGTTAAGTTAGAGAAGAAGAAAAGCTTTACATGCATAGTCAATAGTAAGTTTTCCATTGCAAAATCTTCCTGTGGGAATATGATTCTCATAATCTCTACCATAAGGACTATAGTTTGCTTTAGCAAGAGTAATTAAATTATTGTTATTTCCAACATCAAGACTAGAGTCGCCAAACATGAACAATGCAGGGACCACAGGTTTTCCATTAATGGGAACAAGAAGAAGAAGAAGAAAATAAGTTGAAAAAGTACTTGAATGCCTCATGTTTTCAATGACTCTTTGGTAATGCACAAGTTGTTTAGAATTCTACTTGTATTTATGTGTGTTTGGAGAAATAAATTTGGAGGAGAGAAAATATTTACTTGAACTTTTCATCTTTGAAAATAAATTAATAATGTTAATAAACGATATATTTATAAAAAAAATAATAAATGTATTTTGTAATTTTTAAAGAATCTTATATTAAAGGATTATTAGAAATCAAAGGATTAATGGAGAATTTATTGAAGATTAAGTTTTATAACTTCAAGTTTTTTTTTTTTTGTTAGGCTTCCTTTTATTTTTGAGTCAAAATTTCGTTTATAAATAGAAAGTTTTTTTTATTTCAGGATATTTTTGTTAAAAAAATGTTGTTGGACTTAACTTTTATTATATAAAACTGGTTTGTAGGGTAAGAATTGACCTCACTTATAAGGACATGTTTATATCATATATTATCTTATGTGAGACTCTTAACACACTCCCACATGTTTAAAATCGGACATCTGAAGCGTAAAAATAAATGATGGGTGGTCCGACATAGTCAAAATCTCATTGTACGTGGCCCACCAGATCTTAAATCAAAGACTCTTATATCATATTAAAAAATGTGATTTTATATAACTTATCCCACAAAACCAACTTCTAGAATGATGATTGCCTCCACTTATAAAAATATGTTATGACTATATATTATTCGATGTAGAACTCTTAACACTTCTCTCCAAATTATTGTATTATGAAATCTCTCGTCTTTCTCGTTTTCGCTTCATCTAAATATTTTTCTTTTTTGTTCAGTGTTTCGGCAAGCTTCATTGTGCAAAATATAATTATCAATTATCTATTATACAAGTTTTAATCATGCAATACATGTTTTAATCATACAATACAAAATTGATTATTTTATTGTTTTGATCAATGTTATTAATCGTCTTAAAAAATAAGGACAATAACAATTGCAAAATGGTCTTAATATAAAACATTTTGTTTACTAAAATTACTTTTATTAAATATTGATATATTTATTCTTATAGTCAATAGAAAGTGTAAAATATTAAATAAAAATTATATTGAATTTTTAATATATCATTCATTTTGAGTCAATTTCTTTATGCAAATGTATGGATATGATAATTATGTGACATAGAGAGTAAGTATGTATAGATTATTCAGAAATACATAAATATTAATGGAAGTAAAACATAAATATTTTCAAACATGATAGATCAATTTCAAGATATAAGTAACACAACTCAATGAAAAAACTTAATCAAGAAGTTATTTCTACGTCAAGACATTTCAACAATTAATAATAAAAAAAAGACAATAAATTAAATTAATTGTATTCGGCGCCATATTAACTGAAACGGCAAGCAACACTATCATCAAAATTACTAGCATGATGGTTTTTTTTCCTCTATTTTTAAAATCTTCTTTTACCATACTTTTTTGAAAAAAAATGTACTTTTTAAGCTTGTTTTTTATAATTTAAAAATACTTTATTGTATATTTAATTTATTATTTTATCTAATTTATAAAATTAATTTGTTATTGACTTCTTTGAAATGAAAGAACTTCACACATAAAATCTCTTTTTACCATCGACTCCCTTATTTTTCTTATTTTAAAAATAAATAAGAAAAAAGTCCACCTAGTGCCCAGGTGGTTTGGCTAATAGTAGGCCAAGAAATATTGAATGGTGATGTAGGGGGAGATTTCCGGAGAATACAAATAACTAGTGAATTACAACTCTATTGTACTGCAATCGGTGCAGCCTTAATGTTTTTTTGCTGGTTGGTTTCATTATCACAAAGTGTACTTTTTAAACTTATTTTTTATAATTTAAAAAATAGTTTATTGTATATTTAATTTATTATTTTATCTAATTTATAAAATTAATTTATCTATTTTAAATTCAAATTATATTAATTCTCCTCTAATTTTTGTGCATTGAAAATCAATAATATGTTGACTTTTTTATTTATATTTTTTATCTATAAAATTTCATTAAAAAAATTGTATTTTTTTTAACAGCAAATTCAATAGATAAGAGCATTAGGGATGCTCAAACCCATTACAACACAAAAGAGACTAAAAGAATTTCCTCCAATAACAACAGTTAAGACAAACTTTGGATCGGATTCATACACAAGTCAAAATAATTAACGTTGGCTTGAGGAATATCTCCTAATATCGTCCACTTTCAAACGAAAAACTTAACGAACCAAACTATATTCTCCATTACACACTTAATATTGTTAAAGATAGCGTCGTTTCTCGACTTTCAAATACACCAAACGACCGCCAACAATATAACATCGAGATGCCCCTTGACTTCTTTGAAATGAAAGAACTCCACGCATAAAAAAAATTCCAAGAAGGTCTTACTTCCCTTACATCGAAACCCATCTAATTTCCTATCTTAATTCAAATCGACTTCGATACCGGACAATTAAAAAACAAATGCTCAGTGTTTTCTTTCTCCTCAAGACATAAAGAACAAACATCATCATTATGAGACCATTGCATACCTCATTTTTCCAATTGTTCTTTAGTTGCAATTCTATTCAATAAAATTCTCCATTTGAATGTGTAACACCTCATTCTACCCCGTATGCGTATTATAGGAATATTAAAGAAAGTACATCAGAGTTTTCAAAACACGTAGGATGTCACATAGACATTTTTCTCATTCAATGAAGTATCAAGTCACTTCATGCCTTCCACAATATTTCAACAAGGTCATTCAATAAAACAGCGGAATAAAATCAATGTTTAAACATAATTCCCACAATCGGTGGTTATACATCATTAATCCAACAGATAAAATGTAATAATTAATCAAGAAAATAAGGAAAATATAACGTAATCCCGTCATCCCATGTTACGTATCAGAGTGACTTCTAGGACTCGATCAAATAACAACACACTCCAAGCACTACTCAGGTACCTGGTCATCTGCACTCCCCAAGGGGCACAAACGCAACAAACAGAAAAGGGGTGAGAACTACATTCAATAAATAAGCGGTGAAATACACATGCTAAGAGTAGTTACACACCACACATACAATCATACACATACCAAACACATACACTTGTCATCTCAATCACTCAGCATTAATAGCCCATAGTTAAATACAAATATGCAATGTGACTCACTGACTCGACACAATGCATGTGGTACCAACACAAATACATACAGTTTACCCTAGAACCTGATTCCCTCCGGAATCCGGATAAGTCGAATAAGTTCCGCTGAACTACAACTTATCTCCACAACGACTTCCACATGAAGCCCGTATGAACTAGGCACCCATCATGGATTCCCACCTGGCCATCTCCACAAGATACATGACATGAAATGCATGACAACACAATTATGCAAATAATAATTTCAAGCATAATCCACGATCATCAATGATCCAAACGAGCCATCCGCTCACCGTAATCCTCTCGGGAATTACTACAATCGCATAAGATTATCCCCATTCGACAATCATGGCTCACACTCATCGAAACACACCCCTAAAGGAACACCTATAAAATTCCATATTCTCCCGATTTAATTCATTACTAATATTCCTTAAGTTCAGTTAAACCCTATTAGTCTGACCGATTGAACGACACTGCATTCCTAGCGAAATCTGGACCGAATCGCCAAGACTGGGGAAAAGTCCTCCCCTGCTGCCCATACACGTAACACCCTTCCCCATACGCGTATTGTCCTGCTGGCATACGCGTATGGACACTCCCTTACGCGTAATGGAAGAGGCTGACACCTCTCCTAATTCCCTCATGCAACCTCTTACGCGTATGACTACCTTTCATGCGTGTAATGACCAAGCCCCTACGCGTATCACCAGAGGGTCGTGCTGGCCTTAGGGACAGGGCATGTCCGCTATGCGTACATCCCCTGGGAAGTCCCCCATACGCGTAATGACACCCCCGTTACGCGTATGACCAGCAGATCTGTCAAAACTCAGATCTCATCCTTCTCATGAGTTTCCACTCAAGATCCACCATTCTACCTTCCCATTCATCCCAAAACTCAGATTTTGATCGATTCCATTAATCATATCTTCTATTCTTTCAAGATTCTACTTATTAGATCTAACTTCAATTGTTTTTAAACCCTTAATTCTCAAATATAACCTCTGTCATAATTTCATCGCAGTGCTCATAACCTTTCACACGAATTTTAGATCAGTTCTAGAATTCGTTCATTCAACACCAGACAAGAATATTCAATAAAGACAACAATCACAAGGAACATCACAAAGTTGCGAAATCAGATCAACGAACAAGAACAAACATAAATTCCTACGAGAGAAATGACCTTTCACTACCCTCTCATGTTAAATCATCCATATTGAAATCCATTTTCCCCCCTTACCTTAGATTGAAGCCTTTTCCTTGACAACAATGGAGAATTGGTTCTTTTTTCCTAGCTCTCCTTTCTCTGCTTTTTTCCTCTTTCACGTGTTAATTGTCTAACTCCTCCACTAACCCTCTCTTAACCCCCTTAATCAGACTCTTAATTCCATTAATCCAATTAATAATAATAATAATAATAATAATAATAATAATAATAATAATAATAATAATAATAATAATAATAATAATAATAATAATAATAGTAATAGTAACTATCATCCTATTAATATTATTATCAATAATAATTAAATAATAATATCAATAACCATAGTATTCTTATTATTATTATATGATTATTATTATTATTATTATTATTATTATTATTATTATTATTATTATTATTATTATTATTATTATTATTATAGGTCCACCTTACCCCAACTAAGGTCACCTCCCACTCTTGCCCCTAACTTTATACCCTTATTAAGGACATCACAACCAATACACGCACAACAAAGTATAAAATGACTAAATAATTTAAATGGGGTGTTACAGAATGCACGTATGTTAGTTGGCAGCTTCGACTTCCATAACAGCCAAAACACTTTAACTTTTCCTTCATCCATAATTAT